TGCTTCGCCGATGCGCGAAACCAGAGATGCCGCCAGCAAGTGGGCGGATTGCTGCATGGATTTCGCCGCGCGTGTTCAGGCACAAAACGGAAAGAACCAGGCCAACCGTGCACTTTTTTTTTGTTGGGCAGCCACATCGACCCCGATTGGTTCGCCGAAGTAAAGTAGGAGTTGTTAGGGTGGAAGTTCGAGCGAGGTCAGGGCGCGCGCGCGTGGGGGGGAACAATCGGGATAATCAACTGCGATTGCCGGTTGGACGCGCGACGGCTCGCGGCGCGAGGCTGATCGGAGGCGCGCGGAGATATTCGCGACGGAGTCGGACTGCATGAGAGCAACGCAGAAGCTGAGGTGCCAGGAGAGAGGTTGCCTGTGAGCGAAGGAGATGAGGAGGATTTGGTATCGGGCGTGGCCAATCAGTTCCAGGCAATGGCCGCGGGGGCAATTTACTTTGCCCAGGATCGATCGGGCATCCAGTTCTCGGTCAAAGAGTTGCCCACAAGGTTGGCAAGGCCCGCGGTGGGCCCCTGGAAGAGTTTGACTCAACTTGGCAAGTGTCGCAAGTCGCACGATCGATCAGGTTGCCTTCATAAATACCGAGGGAAATGGAGAAAATTGGCGGCGCGGGCAGGCGCGGATTATGCTGGGCGTAAAAGAACGGGGAAGCCGATGAGTGGAAGAGTAGTGGCGCGGGGATCCCACCCGATTTAATCTTGGAGAACAACGCAAAACAATGGCGCGTTGCCATCTGGAGAGCCAGAGTATTTTGGCATTGTGAAGGGAGCGTGTGTTGGATTAGGGTTACAGTCAAGTCTCAATGACTTCGAGGTGGAATCCGCATCACCAAATATCGTTGTGCCACTGCTGCCAGAACGATGCGAACAGGAGAGGGTTAGGTAAAGTGAGGCATGCTAGGGCGCGCCAGCTGCGGCTGCAAAGAGAGTGAGGAGTGGAGACTTTAAGTGATGAAGGGCAGCGCCCATGAGAACGCATATGCATTATCCAAATTCGCGGGCAAGGGTGTCGCGAGCATGCATCTGGCCTGAACCCAGCAAACGGCGCGCGAGGCCAGGCTCAATATGGCGCCCTGCAGCGGAACGTTAGCAACTGCAGCGGTTTCGGCTAACTCAGGCTTGAACGAGGAGTTTTGTTCACGACTGCCACCTATTCCTTTTCCCTCTCCACCGGTTTGATTAACGATGGCACGGGGGGCGCTTCAAATCGCGGTGGACGGGCGTCTGGTTAACGCCTCGCCGTGTCGCGTCTTCTTCGCGCAGACCGTCAGCGAGGTGGGCCGCAACGTGCGCGAGTTCATCGCCTTCACCGCAGCCGCATGCACAAACGTTACCACTTTGACCTGAACTGCCAACGCGGCCATGGCGCATCGCGCCAACGACGTGGGTGCCACGCGCCAGCAGGCTGGGTCCGCGAACGACGAGATCGCAGAATAACCGGATCAGATGAGCAGGGACATCATGGATCCAACCCATGCCAACGAAGAATTCGTTCAATGGAGGAGAGCCCGGCGGTCCAGCGAATTGCAGTTACCGACGCCGGCGGTAGTTGAGGCCTCGCATCTGAACTTAAAAGGCCCAGGCGGGAGTCATCCTCGATGCTACTGCCGATAGGTTGAAAGAGGTTGCTGAATCGTTGCGCAGTCCATCCATTAAACGCCGCGCTGACTCGCCGACGGCCCCAGCAGGCGCGAGACAGGGCGGCGTGCAGCGACCGCCGTCGCGCAGCGAGATTGGCGCTCCACCTGCGCCACTGGTGGCCCCGACAACTCCGGCGGATCCGCGCCCAAAGGTGGCGGCGACGGCGGTGGGGGAATTATTGTTCAGGTTTTCGCTCCGCCCGCTCCGCCAGCGGCTCCGACCCCTCCAGCTGCTCCGAGTCCGAAAGTTACCGCGGGCCGCGGCAGCGGAGGGCCCGCCGGCCCCGAGGGAGCCCCCGCGCGCGGGGGGGCCGGGGGCGCCAGAGGGCCAGAACAACCAGCCCAGCCGGCTGAGGCGGCGACTGGTCGGGCGAGAGGCCGGTTGCCTGGGTCCGTGGAGGACCGCGTCGGAGACATCATGAAAGGTCTCGGCAATCGCTAGATTAACGAGGTGGACATGCTGGCCACCGCCATCGCCGGGGTGCCAAATGTTAACCCATTGTTTGCCCGCGCCAGGGTGTCGCGCAGCCTCGAGGCGGGGCGCGAGCATTGCGATCCCAATTGCCGTGCCGAGCCAGAGGGTTCCCCATTGGCTTGCCAGGTCAGTCAGGCGCTCTCGGCGTTATCGGCATTGTGAACGGCGTGGCGAAGCTGAGGTCGGGCCGTTCAAGCTTGGCGATGCGGTCGGCGACCGTGGCGACGTTTACCAGCGTCAGACGTTCGAGCGTGTCTGCGGCCGCCGCGCCCATGGGCCACTGCCGCGCGCAGTGTTCTGCGGTCCCCTCATCTGGGCGAGTCCCATCTGCGTTGCCGCGCATCGAAGCGTGAACGTTGGGCCGCCGAAGTTGCGCGCCCACAGTCGACGACGCCAGCTGGTCACCGCGGAGCCACATATCACGATGGGCTAAACGAGGCTTGGTTCCACGACGATTCAGCGCGAGCCGCTCAAGTGCACGTCCACGGGCTGCCCGACATGCATGACCTCGGTCTTGACAGTGTGCTGTCAACGTGGTTCGCGATCGTGGACGTCGGCGCTCTCGCCGAGGACTCCAGCGCCAACCGTTGCAAGATATCCACGGGCACGGTCGTGATAATATTAATTGCCGAGGAGTTGGCGCGAGCGTTCATGGAAGCGGTAGACTGACTCCACGTTTACTACAAGCAGCCTCTCATTTATTATTGCACGAGTCTCAGTGACCAAGGGATGCAGCTTAATTTGGAGCAGCGCCCCTTGGAGTGGCACTGCGCCCGGCTCGCCGGGAAACCGACCATTAAGAGCAAGCTGAGGGGGGTTAGCAGATTTTTTTTGCGCCGCAATTTATTGGGCAGGGCCCCCAAGCGCCGAGAGAGCCTTTCCTGGCAGGCATGTCTCACGTCTTACGATTTTGATCAGTGGCCGACTAACGGGCAGCAGCGTTTAGTTGACCCGCAGAGCGGGCGCGCTTACCTTCAGAACAAGCAAAGCAATACGACTCTGCCACCTGCGCCCCAGATCCGTCTTAGAGTCGGCGCGCATTGTCAGGCCGTTCCTGCCAAATCAAGGGTGCAGATGTGTCCTGCCCATCCCTTCTCATGTCCTGTGCATGTTCGGACTGAGGGTGCCCTTGTGTCCTGCGGCTGTTGGAGTCCATGTTGCCGTCGTGTCTTCTTGCGTGTCCTCTCCCACGCACTTCGACTGTGCTGGTCACCGTTGGGCACCTGCCACCCCCGCGCAGATTTTATTATTCTTCAGAGGGATTCGTGGCGCTGGATTAACAAGGGGGAACGGAGCCAGGTGCACGACGACACCTCGTGCATGAGCTATGCTCAGAGAGAGCGCCGCGGCCGACGTCACCGTTCGAGTACACCGGGTCGCCAGGCCGTGCAGAGACAGGCGGGAAAGGGCAGCTTCCCGGCTGCCGAGGCGCCATAAGATGTGTTTCGCGGTACCAGACCTCTCCCGCTTCTCTTTTACTACCTTGTCAGCGTGAGTGAGCGTGAATAGCCGTGTTTCACACGCGCGCGAACCGTGCTGATTGAGTTTTGGATAGCACTGGCACGTTACATAGCGAAAGCAGACATCATCATTAACGCTAGATCTCCGTATGACGTTTCAGTCTAATGTGTCTTTCCGTGCTGCGCACGCCCGAGGTTACAGGCACTCCAGTTGGCCCTGAAGATGCGCTGTCGCAGGAATTCAGGCCGTTCATGAAAGCCCCATCTTCGCCATATTATAACAGTCGCATTTTCCCCGTTGCTTGGGCGGCTGTGTCCGCCGATTGGGGCGGTGGCAATTGGGGAAGCAGGAACCGCAGAGGTAAGGTCAGACGCTCGGTGTTGACAACGCCGCTTGGCTCAAACTTGATCCAACGCCGCTTGGCGACGCCATCGTCCAAAAATCTGATTTATCCAAGCGTGGTGTGAGACCAAGCGCGCTCGCGCTACTACGCAGAATCCTGCTGGACATCTTGCAATTATGCTGGAGGAGGAGGAAGAGAAAGTGTCAGAGTTCGCGGAGAGAGTCGGAGGAAACATACGCGTGACAAGGATAATAATAATAATATAACGCGAAAGAGAGGGAAAGAGAGAGAGAGAGGCACGGAAAGGGAGGGGGAGAGAGAGGGTGTTCAGAGAAGAAGCACAGAGAGAGAGAGAGAGAGAGGGAGAGAAACAGAGAGAGGGAGAAACAAGGACGGGGAGCACATGGGATAGTTTTACACTGGTGTTGGGGCGCGTCCTGCGGTTCCACCGCCATTGCTGCCATGTTTGGCCGTCCTGTGGTTCGTTCGGTTTTTTTTTGTGGCGCCCTGCGCCGTCCAGCCCTTTTTCGGGGCCTTTTGTCAGTCCGTCCCGGGAAGTCCTGTCGGCATGTTTTGGCCATCCTGAAGCCCTCAGAAGGAAACAGAAGACGGATAAGAACAATACGAATACTCATAAGACACATAAATATAGTGATATGGATAAACAAAAGAAAAACCAGAAACACAAGAAAGCGAGAAACTGATATGAAGAAACCAAACGCCCGAACGTCACGGCAACTTTGACGATTCTGCTTGTCTGGGATCTCCCATGGGTCCTTTTGCAGCCTTGATGGAGGCCTCTCCTGCGCGTGTTGGGGCGTTGTTTTCGTGGGGCATCCTGCGTGCCTGCGTCGCCCTGCAGACCTCTCGGAGCGCCGACGCCGCGACGTCCCGTGGCCCTCAAGTGGGCCACCTCGGACGCCCCGGGCCGTGTCGACGTTCCTTCTCGCCCACCCGCCTGTTTCCCCAAACCACCTGGACCTCGCCCCCCCCCCCCCCCCCGCGGCGAGTTTCGGGCAGGGTCCCCACGCCAGCAGCCCCACGGGGGCGACGAATTCACACCGTGCCAGCAATGTTGAAAGTTCTGGAGACCAGGTGGCCCCACAGCAAGAAGAACCGCGTCGCCTACTTCACGGGAGACATGATGCTGAGCAGGCTGGACAAGAATTTCGGGAAGGGCACTTATGACAGACTGAGGAAAGCCTTCCCCGGCGGCATCTGGTGGCAAGCCTACGACCAGCGGCAGCCCGGTTTCAAGACCGCGCCAGATGGCCTGAACGGCATGTACCTACTGCCTGTTTGGGACGTTGCCGAAAAGGCCATCAACTCTGCAACCTTGGAGGGCAAGACGAAGGGCGTGCTGGCCGCCTGGGGCAAGTTCCATCCCAACTTGGACGCCATGGTCCCCGCGCGCACCAAGCTGCATGCGTGGGTCGGCACGCCAGGGTCGATCGCCGCTGGTGTGGAGCATGCCTCCTTCGAGCCGAGGGACTACTGGACGGAACTTGCCAAGTACCGGTTCACGATCTCCCCGCGCGGAGGGGGCATCCAGTCGCCGAAGAATGACGAGGCGCTGCTGGTGCTCACCATCCCCATCTCCACCCGCGAGGGCTCCACCAGGGGCTTCAAGACGGAGCCGGCCTTTGACGACCTTAAGAAGCTTGGCTGGCCCATGGTGGTGCTGGACGAGTGGTCGTCGGGGGGGCTAGGACCAGAGCAAATCGTTCCAGAGCTGTAGGAACGCTCTGGAACGGCCGCGGCCTCCGAGGCATCCTCCAGAACCGACAGACCTGAGGGTTCCTTGTTTTATCCCAGTCCGATTGCAAAGGCCTTACGGCCAGTGCCACCGACCCTGAATGGCGACGACGACGACGACGACAAGCGCACTTGAGGCCCTCTTGGGGGTAGTTTGGGGGCCTCTTGGGAAGGGGCCTCTTGGGAAGCTTTTGGGGGCCGCTTGGAAGCCTCGTGGTGGCCTCTTGGGGCTCCCTGGGGGTCTCTTGGGGGCTTTTTGGGGCTTCTTGGGGGGCTTCTTAGGAACCTCCGGGGGCCTCCTGAGAGCTTCTCAGGCCGAGGGCCCTTGCTTTATCCTGGTCCGATTATGGCCTGGCCTCAGGTCGGAGATCACGAAGCCCAAGCTCGATCAGTGGTGGGGCGAGCTCTCCCCGAGGCTGGTCAGCTTCCGCCAGAACTGCCTCACCACTGAGGGCTTCTGGAGGATCATCACGGGGCAGGTGACCTACTGCGAGTGAGGGGCCCGCCGCGTGAGCGAGCGGCCTGTGCCGCAGGGGTGTGCCTCCCCTGTCGGTCGTGTTTTACAGCGGACCTGCAGACGTGGACGCTCCCTAAGGGACGCGGGTGCACGCGTACAGTTTCTGATCCCCCTGGATGGGAGGAGTGTCTGCGCCATCAACTCGTGCCCGCCGCGGGCCGCGGACCCGCGCACGCCCGAAAAGTTGGCAACTGCTCTCCACGCTCCGGAGCTGCTGCTGCTGCGGCTGCTGCTGCTGCTGCTCCTCCTCCTCCTCTTTCGCATCCCCCCGCGCCCCTCTGATGCTGCTGCTGCTGCTGCTCTTGCTCTTGCTCTTGCTCGTGCTCTCGCCTCCGCCGCTGCCGCCTCCTCCACGTCCGACTCCTTCTACTCTGGCGCCTTCTTAGACTTGAGTCGGGCGTGTCCCTCTACAGGAGAAACGTGCAAACATAGTCAACAGATCGTCTGGGGACGAACTCTCCACTCTTTCTGACTATTTCGGGGCATGCTTCGACTCTTTTGTGATTTGCCCCACGAACTCCGCCTGTGGGGGGGGGCATGCCCGACCTACTCCCCGACAGCTGGTCCGTCCACCCCGAGCGCCGCTGGAGGCGCCACCACCACCGCAGGGTCGGTGGCCGCCAGCGGGCTGGCGGCCAGTCCGTGCCCCCGTTCCCGCACGGTGCGCCGCGAGTCCTCGCCGTCGCGCAGCACTGCACCCAGGGCTGCCTCCTCCTGCCTCGGTCGGAAACTGGAGCATATATCGGGGGTGGACAGGCCTCCTGCCCTGACACGTCGAGTAAGGAATTGGTCGTTTTCGGTTCGCGAGAGGGCGTCGCGGCCGTCCTTTTTGCGGGCCCAGGTCCGTCGGTTTCGGTCCCAGGCCGTTTTCACTAAAGGGAGGTTTACTAAAGGGAGGTTCGTCCACCGCTGAATATACGTTACCAGTGGCGGGCTGTTTTGCAATCCCAGGATTTTGTTGAGGGGCGGGGACGACGTCGGGGTGGTGTGGTGTATGCTTCTCCCCCGTTTCCAGGGGAAGCAGCGGAACATGTATACACCAGGATCCCGTATACACCAGGATCCGCGTTCCTGTGCGAATTTCAGCGCAGGGTCGGAAAAAAACGTCGGTGTATAGAGTTCGTTTCCCTACTTAGGATGTTCCAACCTACGTCAGCTTTGGTCACCAGCAAGAACTTCGAGGACCAAATAAGTACCGAAACTTCAAGGTTTTCACGTGTCGGGCCCTGGGAGGCGATACTCGTTCGATATTGTTTCGATATTTTGTCCAGTTGCTCGAAATTAGTTTGGGGATGTGGTCTTTCAGTGCGATGGGGGCAACATTCTTGATACCCTTTCGGCTTCCCCCGAAGCTCTGGGGCTTCCCCGCCTGCTGTTGCCTCTCAAGCCGAGCGACGGCAGAAAACGGAGTCTATCGCGCGGACATTCGCGCGTCAGTTCTCCAATACAAGGTCGCGTGTAACCTCCCTCGTTCTCCACGAGGTTTGCCGCGCTGGCGGCGCGCGAGGCCATCGCGTAAGGTCGCCGTGGCTTCTAGCGTAAGGCCGAGTACTTTTCTTCGCTCAGCTGGCATTTCCCGCTCCGCCCCCCCCCCCAACCCCTAGACGGCCCAAAGACGGACGCAGCTTTGAAGCCATGCCTGCCGAAGCCCGTTGCACACGAGTCGTTGACGTAAACACCCTGAAAACGCCAAGGTGAGCGTTTTTTATTCATTCATTTGCCGATCGGCGCGGGCCCTCGCACCCCCCTCCCCTGCCCCCCCCCCTGGAGTGGATCTTGGCTGTTTTTGGCGCCTGTTTTCGAGCAGGTGGAGTCCCCCCCATCGGACGTACTGTTCCAAACATTCGCACTAAGCAGAGGTCCGGAGCCAGACCCCCCCCCCTCCCCCCCGCCCAATGTCCAAAAGCCGAATTTCCCAAGTGCGACCCTACCTAGAAGTTGGAGCCCCTAGGAAAGCAGCATTAGTTGCCATGCTATGCCATGCCATGCCATGCCATGCCATGCCATGCTATGCTGTTCTATGCTATGCTATGCTATGCTATGCTATTATATGCTGCGCTATGCTATGCTATGCTATGCTATGCTATGCTATGCTAAGTTATGCAGTGGCATGCTGCGCTGTGCAATGCTAAGCTATGATATGTTATGCTAAGCTGCGCTATGCTATGCTATGCTATGCTATGCTATGCTGCGCTATGCTATGCTATGCTTTGCTATGGTATGATATGCTATGCTATGCGAATGCAGCGCTGCGCTATGCTAAGCTAAGATAAGCTAAGCTAAGCTAAGCTAACCCTCTAGGCAGAGCCTAGGTAGGGAATTACACCCATGCTAATTACCAGAACAGAAAGCTGTGCCTTTCCTTTGCTTTGCCTTTGCTGTTGCTTTGCTTTGCTCTGCGTTGCTTGTGCTTTGCTTTGCTGTCGCTGCTGTTGCTTTGCCTTTGCTTTGCTGCTGTGCTATGCTCTGCTCTGCTCTGCTATGCTATGCTATGCTATGCTGCGCTGTTCTGTGCTGTGCTGTGCTGCGCTATGCTATGCTCTGCTATGCTGCGCTATGCTATGCCATGCTGGGCTATGCTATAATATGCTGTGCTGCGCTATGCTATGCTACGCTATGCTATGCTATGCTATGCTGTACTCTGTTATGCTAAAGCTCAGCGAAGCTAAGATGAAGGTAAGCTAAGCTATGATAAACCTGAGCTAAGATGAAGCTGAGCTAAGCTAAGATGAATTAAGCTAAGCTAAGATGAGATAAGCAACGCTAAGCTTAGGGGGCGTAGCTGGGGGAACCGCGGGGCGGATGCCAGGGGAACCGCCCGGGGCGGGCCCCTATGCCCGGCCCCTTTAAGATAGAGAGTAAGAACCCTTCTAGGCAGAGCCTAGGTAGGGAATTTACAAAACGCTCACACGGGTCCCAAGAGCGCCGCTTGACTGCATTCCTATTCCTCGCTCCCCTCTTGGGCGAGGTGAGCGAGCCCGACGCCGTCCCAGGGCACGGCCGCTGGGCACCCCCGCAGCGTGTCCTGCTTCCTGGTGCCTCCTGCTCCTCCTCCCCCGGCTCCCGCGGCTGCTGCTGTGTTGGTGCGTCGCGTGCTGGGCGTGGCGATGCGTGTCGCCGAGCGCGTTCCACTGCTCGCAAAGTGCCTACAGTCGACCCGCAGAGTAAGGATGGGCATCCCTCCCAAGGGTACCCTTGCATCCTTGCCTCCTGGGTCCATCCTGGGCCACTTTCGTTGGCCGCGCCCCGCTCGAAGAGCTTCGAAGTGGGCGTCCAAGGCCCTTGCATCCTTATCGCGCATCCTTACTCCACGGGTTGATGCACTCGCAAAGTACCTACTCGCAAACGTTCCAAAAACACAGGTCTGCTTTGATGCAGTTTATCGCAGAACCCTTGTGGCGGATCCAGGACATCTGCGAATAGCCACTTTGCGGGTGGTGGAACGCGCTCGTCTAGCATGGGGGGGGGGGCAGCGAGGGCTGCATAAAAGGAGCCCTGTAGTGAACAGTGGGAATCCGACCCCAGCCCCCACAACGATGGACTTTCGATCGAGCAGCGTGCAAGACAGCCAGGGCGCCGACGGGGGCGGCCCGCGGGAAGCTCCGCCAGCAGACAGCAGCCTCCCGCAGGAGAGGCGGCCCTTTCAACCTCGACGCCCGCCCCTGAGGCGTGGCGAGTAGGCGCAGCCGGACGACGGCGGGTGGTCGAGCGGCCCACCGCCCTACTACATGGGAAGATGGCTTCGCTTGGGGCCGCTCGGAGAACGACGCGGAGGGGGAGCGCCGCCCCGCCGGGGATCGCTGCTGTCCGGCGGAGGTCAGCAATGTTCTCCACCGCCGCTGCCACCTCGGCCCGCGCCGGGCGCCCTCGGTGGACGGGCCCGCATTCGATGGGGCGCTCGAGCAGGCGGCGGCGGCCGAGGACCTCGGCTCGACGGAGGCGCCAGCGAGGGAGCTCGCTGACCACTCGGCAGGTTGGAGCAGGAGCTGAAGTGGCTGCGGAGGTCTGCAAGGTGGTCCACAGCCGCCGCCCTCTGCCCGCGCTGGGCGCTTTGGGCGGGCGAGCCCGCGATCGGGGAGCGCCCGATCAGACGGCGGCGGCCGTGGGCCTTGGCGCGTTAGTAGCTGAGAAGCCAGAAGAGGAAGCAGTGGTGGGCGTCCACGACGTCCTTCGGCGGGCCACGCGGACGGGCGCCGCGGCGTGCCTCGGGGCGGCGACCAGCCGCGGAGCGGCCGATCGAGGCCCCGCCGCCGCGGGGCCCGCGCGACGGCGGAGGCCCGCTTCGCTCGCGGAGGCGCCGCGCGCCCGCAGATGGGGGACGCCGCGGACCGGAGACGCATGAGGGGGCTCGCTGGGAGGCTCGCTGGGTCGCGCGGCCGAGGAGATGTGCGCGCCCTCGCATGAGACGGCGCGGTCGCGCATGAGCCGGGGGCGCGCGAATGGCGGCGCGGGCCGCGCGCGCAACGACGCGGCGAGGTCGCGCGCGCGGGGCTTGGAGACGATGCGCAGGCGCCCCTTAGCGCGCGCGCGGCTTCCCGTTGCCCCTAACGGTCGGGTCTTTCATCGACTGCGCGAAGGACTAGGCCCCCGTGCCGCGCGGGCCGACGGCGCCCAACCAGGCATTTCGCACCGCCGGGGGGGCATGCGCGCGGCAGGCGCAGTCCAGAGCGACAGACTCCCCACTCGACCCGAGGCCATGTAGGTCGTCGCAGACGCTGAGAGGGCTTCCGGGCGCCGGCGAGGGCCTGGCGAGGGGCGGCGCCGTTCCCCAGCGGGTTCAAGGGCCTTGCGGTGAGCCATGTGCGAAACCCCCCCGCGCGCAGGGGGGCGGGCGCAGGCGCGGGGGGCGGCGGGGCTCTTCGCGGCGCCTCGGGGCGGGGGGCCCGCCCGCGCACTGGCGCGTCGCCCCCCGCTCCCCCCGCGCCCGCGGCCGCGCGCGGCGCGCGGCACCTCGCGGGGGCCCGCGGGGGCAAGCGGGGTTCGCGGGCCATCGCGCGCAGAGGCGAGATGCGCGACAACAGCGTCGATGCCCTTTCGGCGGACGCGGCGCGCCCGAAAGGGTGGGCCCGAACATGGGGCCGGACCGCGGGCGAACCCTTTGCCCAGGCGCAGCGACGGACCCGCGGAATTAATTATTCGCAGACGCCGACGACTTGGGGGCGGTCGAGTGAAAGTAGCCCAAGCTCGCGAGGCATCGGGACATGCACCCGCTGCGCTGGGGCGCCGCTCCGATTCGGCGCCTGGCGCAGGTGGCCGCGAGGCGCGGGGCGGCCTCGCGGCGACCGGGGGCGGCGCCCTCTTCGACGACGCCATTCGCGCTGCGGGCTCTTGGAAGGCGAGGGCAGCGCGGGGCGCTGCAGGGCGCTGGAAGGCGGTCGAGCGCGGCGCCATCCATGGGCGCGAGATGGCGACGGGCGCGGAGCGCCCCGCCCGCGCGGCAACTGCCCTTGGGCGGCCGCTCTCGGGGCCGGGCGGCTGGGGCGCGCCGGCGGGGGGCAGGAAGTTAGGAGGTCGCCGGCGCGGGCGGGCAGCCGCGGGGGAAGGCCCCCCCGCCGCGGGCGCGGGCGCGGCAGATTGCCCGCGCGTGATCCTGGCAGAGCGGGAGCTCCTCGACACGTTCCCTGGCGCGAAGCCGCGCGGGCCCTGGGGGGCCCGCCCGAGGGCGAACCTCCAGTTGGCGGAGTCGACGGATAACCTGGGGGGCGCCCGTGCCGACCGAGCGGGCGTTGGCAGTCTGCTTCGCTGAGCTCGTGGAGGAAGGGTGCACTCGGGATCCGCTCAGCGGCCGCGGACCTGAGGCGCGCGCGCCCCACGCGACGGCGCTGGCGCCAAGGGCGCTGCGAGTCGACCGCCGAGGAGAGGGCGGCCGTTTCACGGCGACAGCCCAGCACAGCGCGCCGCGGACGAGGTCGCGCAGACGGAGCGGGGCCAGCTGCACCGGCGCCCCGGCAGGAGATGGCGCCAGCGGGAAGGCGGCAGCCCGCGAGCGGCCCAGACGGCGGCGCCCACCTCGCGACGGGGGCGCGGTGGCGCTGGCGATCCGAACTCCCCCGCGCCCAGCTGCCCCCCCCCCGCCGCCCCCCCGACTTTGCATTCCCTCCCCGGGGGCCCTGCGTTGCCGAGCGCGTTCTACTATTCGCATAATGCTTACTCGCGCGCGTCAGCAAAAGCGTATTCCTCTACGCAATGGATCGTGAATTCCTCGTGGCGGATCTAGGCCATTTTGCGAGTAGCTCCTTTTGCGAATCGTGCAACGCGCTCTTCCACAGCGGCCGCCTCGGCTGGCGAGGGCCCATCCGCCAGGGACCCCCGCGGGCTGGGAGGGCGCCTCTGAGCTGCCCCGCGTGTCTCCGGGGCTGTCTCGATTCCCCCCCTCTCCGTCCTCTCGGGTCGGGGGCCCCCCGGTTCCGCCGCGGGCGGGGGCGGGGGCCTGGAAAAGGGGGGGCGCCCGATCGCGGAGGGCCCCACGGGGGCGCGGAGGGGCCTCGAGACCGCGCCTCTCGGGTCTTGCGCGTGCGTGAGCGGCGCGCAGGGCGGCGGCTTCGTGAAGGGAGTGGGAAGCAGGGGCGAGGTGAGAAGGTGGTCGGGCCCCGCGGCGCTAGCACTGTCTGGGGCGGGGGGCGCCGGCTTCTGTTCTCTCTTCCGGGCCTCAATCTCTCCCCTTCGGTTTCACGGGCGGATCGCTCCCATCGCAGAGATGGGGCATCAAGTTCCTGGGGGCGGCGCATGCCCTGCGTGCGGTCGGTGCGGCCGCCCATAAAAAAAGGGAATCGCCGTCACGTCGCCGTTCCCTTTCACCGCTCTCGCGCCGCTATGAGGGCTCATCGAGGCTGCGCCCCCGCGTGCCACCACGAATGGGCATCCTCTTTCCCGCCCTATGTTTGTGGCCATTCGGGCTCTGGAGCTCGGCCGATCGGCATCAAGTTTTTGGGGGTGGCAGGAGCCCTGCCACCCATACGAGAGAATTCGCCGTCACTTCACTCGCCCCGTGTCTCTGCTATCGCATTGCTCTCAGGGTTCACCGAGGATGCCCGAGCGTTTTTTTTGGCTTGTCGACCCGCGGGATCCATGGCACAGACGCCGCCGCGCGGCAAGTCTCTTCCCCGGATATATTTTTGATTGCCCTCGGGCCCGCCAGCGGTTCCTTGACGCCGAAATGGGCGACACGTTCTGGGCCAACCTTCGTTCCAGATTTCTTGGGATCTTCCCCAGTTCCGTTTTTCTATGTCAAAGCTGCCCATGTCCAGTGTCCCTGTCCTATGACTAAGCCATGGCTTCCCTGAAAGACCAGCAGATCACACAGTCGAAACCAATGAGAAAGATCGGTACGCGTCCCATGTGTACCTTTGCATCCCTGCCTGCGCGTTCCATCCTGAAGTGCGTAACCTCTTTCGGTGGCGCGTCCCGTCAAAAACAGAAATGTCATGGATCGCCAAAGGAGTTGCATCATTGCTGCGTTTCCTGTTTCCTTCGTATCGGTGTTGGTTGTCTTGTCGTCGTGTTATTCTGCACTCGTGTGTCTTCAGTTGTGTGGTTCGTTATCTGATTGTTCATAGTTGTCTTGTGTTTGTAATTATTCGTATGGTTAACTTTCTATTATCATGAGTCTGGATATTCCCGTTATTTGTATGATAAATCGTATTATTCTTATGTAGTTTTTTCGTATTGTTGTTGTTGATAGTATGTTGTTCGTGCTGTCAGTATTCATATGATTCTTTCAGTGTGCTCCGTGGCCCACAGTCATCCCCGCATCTGCCTCGGGCCTCTATCCGGCGGCGAGCCCAGAGGGGGTGAGGGGAAGGGGGGGGCAGTTTTTGTTTTTTCAGAAAACGTAGGAGTTTTCCGGAAACGCTTTTGCCTTCGGAGATTCGGAGGAGGAAAAAGGTACCCATACCGTTACCTTTCCATCGTTTCGTCTTTTTGGGGTTTCTGGGAGGCCTTCGTCGCCATTGGATTCGCTTTGAATTCTTGGTCAGAACGCCCTTGGCAGAGGTCTGGGGAGTACGCGACGGTATCGGCAAGTTTTTGTTGGTCCTCCAATGAAGCTTCCCGTGTCTTCGGAGACGGTTTGAGAAGCTTCTTTAAAAACCGGAAGTTTGCCCCCTGTGCCTCCTCCCTTTGGGCTCGCCTCCGAGATGCCCCCGCCCCCCGCTCATGCCTTCCAGGCTCCCCGCTCCTCGCTTCTTACCCTCCCCCCCCTGCACCCCGAGGTGAGCTGGGGCGACCTGGGCATGAAGGTTCGGGGAGGGAAGGTTCGGAGAGGGCTCGAGAGGAGGGAAGACCTGTGCGGGTGGTTCCATGGTCGAGCGAGGCGAGCAACAATTTCACCTAGTTATTTCCCTTCGGCGGGCTACGACACCAGCACCGCGTGGACGGCACCCCCTCGCAGAGCCCCCGCAAGGATGCCGATAGAGGTCCCCAAGAGACCCCCAAGCCACCATGGTGACAGGCCCGCCTCTGAAGCAAGGAGAATGGGCGGCCACCCCCCGAGTTTGGGGGGGAGCAGGCAGGCCCCCGACTTCTGCCCCCCCAGGGGGCGGGTGCTCGACCGCGGGGCGCGTCCCGACCAGCATCACCAGCAGGGAAGCCCGGCCCAGGCGACGAGCGCCTCCGCAGGAGGAGGCCGCAGGCCTCCTTTTCCTCCTCCTCCTCCTCCTCCTTCTCCTCCTCCTCCTCCTCCTCCTCCCTCCTCCTCCTCCTCCTCCCCTCCTCCTCTCCCTCCTCCTCCTCCTCCTCCTCCTCCTCCTCCTCCTCCTCCTCCCCCCCCAGCATCGTCTGACCGACCGGCCCCACAAGCCCGACCAGCCGCTGGCCGAAGGTCCTCAGCCCCACCAGCCCCACCCCCCAGGCGGGGATGGGTCCCGCGGGGCCCGAAGGGGCAGCACATGCCCCCATCTAATGAGGCAATTCGGGCAGTGGTTAGGTACTCGATCATGAACCACTTGTTGAACGCAACCGTTCAACTTTCGCGCCGAAGACCGCCAGAAACTGCCGAAGACCGCCATGAGACCGCCGAGAACCGTCCGAAGACCGAGCGCCGCTGAAGACGGTCCGGGAGCGATGGGTAACGAGGGGCCCATGGTCGAACGCGTAACAGTGGGGATCGGTGAAGAGATGCTCACAGGAGGGACTGGTGTCGCCCTTGGAGCGACGCAGCCGACGGGGTCGACCTGCGCGGGCAGCTCGCGCGCGCGAGCTGCCCGCGTGAGGGCGCGCCCCGGCCTCTCCGGTTGGCCTGCCGCGCCAGCAGCCTGCGTAAGCTGCCGCGCAAGGCGGCGACGAAATCCGAACCCCTATCCTCGCCGATCAACGACCGGATGGTTCCAAAGGTGGTTTTTGGGGAGGGGGTTTTCCAGGAGGGGTCCCCCACGGGCTTCGCACCCCCTGTTTTGACGAGGTTCCGAGGCCCCTGAGGGGCTCTTTGGGAAACCTTCTCCCAAAAACCTTCTTCGGAACCGTCCGCAACGATTCAGGCAGCTCCGATGGGCGGCGGGGGAACAGTTCGGACTTCGTCGAACACGAGGCGAAATCCGAGCTCGACCCCGCCCCACATCCGGTGCAGCAGAACCGACGGTGCGTGGGGGCAGGGTCCGCGCCATCCGAAGGACAGCGGGTCCTACCCCCCCACGCGATCCACCCCCCCACGCGTCTTGAGAGACCTGGAGTATCTTGGATCGGCGCTCCGGCCCCCCTGTCGCAGGCCCAGAGGTTGACACCAACACCAATGTCTGCGGTGTGCCTCCACCGAGGGAAGAACATCCCGATCTCGGTGATGGTGGTAATATTCTGGCTCCCAAGGTGACCGAAATATCACCACCAACACCGAAATCTAGGATCATCTTCCCCCTATGGAGGCAACCCTCTGTTTTGGTGTTGGTGCCAATTTCCAGGCCTCCAACCCTGGCGGCGCCTCCGCCGCCGTTGGCGCCCTCCGCGCGCCAGGGACGGGTGGTCCAGCGCCGGCTCGTGAGCTCCGCGCGGACCTCAGAGGCGCATTCAACGACACGCCGCCGTCGGGAGCACCTCAGCGCGTTGCTCGTAAGTCGGGCCTGTCCCTCTACAGGGGGAAGACTTATTCAAAAATAGTCAAAAGATAGTCTGGGTCTGATTTTTTTAATGATTTCTGATCCTTTTTGAACATGTTTTCGGTATTTGTAAGTTTTCGCCCAAAATCCGCCTGTAGGGGGACAGGCCCGACCCCCTTCGCGTGTGTCCCAAGGCCCAGTGTCCGTTTGGGGTGGCGGGGGGCCGAAGACAGACCGCGCTGCGCCGGCAGCGCGCATCGTTTGCCGTGTCGTGGCCTAAGAGACGGGGGTCCGCGCAAACGGGGGTCAGCCAGGGCACCAGATCCTGCAGGATCCTGCGAAGACCCTCTCTGGCTGACCCGGGTTAGCGAGCCGCTCGTGGCCGCGAGGCGGCCGCGCATATTGGTTGACCTGGGTTTGCGAAGACCTGCATTGCAGTTTTTGTTTCCCTGCATTGCAGTGTTTCTGGTTTCCTGCTGACCCGGGTCTGGATTGACCCGGGTCAGAAGATCCCCGACCGTGCTGCCGGCTGGAGGTTGACGCCAGCAGTTCGGGCTGAGCTGCCGCTCCGTGCTGCACCCCCTCTCACGGCCTCTCTCCCCTCCCCCTCCTCCTCCGTGCCTACAGGTTTCTCGGGCGATCGCAAGCATGGATCACGGGGGCGTGGATCAGCGACGGGTCCCGTTCCCATGGGAAATCGTGGACTTCCGCCGCCGGGCGAGGCGGCACCGGCCGCACGTTGGGGAGGGCACTTCCCCCGATCCATGGATTTGGCGACCGCACGCCAAATCCATGGATCGCTAATCCATGTTTGCGCGCCCCCGAGTTTCTTGTAATTGTAGCACGCTGATGGGCTCTCCGGTTCCCCACCGCGGCGCGTCGTTGAGACCGTGAGCGGCCCGAACAAGGAACTTTTCTTTTCAAAAGGGTCTCGGTCGTTCCTGATGCGTTGTTTATTACTGATCGTTCCTTGTGCGCTATTCCTTGGAACAACGGGTTATCTATCATTCCTTATGTCAGGCCGATAACTGTACTGTTAAGTCGGGCGTGCCCCTCTACAGGGGGAATATGAAGAAATAGTCTAGCAATTGTCGGGGAACTATTTTTTTAGCATTTTTTGACCATTTTGGAGTATTTTCTGAATACTTTATTTTTCGTCGACAATCCCCCTGTAGGGGGACACGCCCGACTCAACTGTACTGGTTTTGAACCCCGACGCAGGCGCCCACATGTTTTTCAGGTCCCGCGCGCAAGCCCCCGAGGCGAGGGACGAGGGGGCCGCCAGCTGCTCTCCGGTGCCCCTGGGAAGTGGATGGCATCGCCCTCGCCTTGGAACCCTTGGCATCGCTCGGAGGTGTTCACTCTTCCTTCGGCGAGGACCATCGAGGAGCATCCTTGATCATGTGGCGCAGGAACCACGCACGAGACCGAAAGAGGCACATGGACTGGGCGTCCGAGCGATGGCCAGAGTCGAGCTGCTGGAGTGAGGCATGCACCGGGGCTTCGGGAGGATCTCGCTGCTCCTCTCAAGCAGACGGGGCGAGGCGGAGCGATCGTCCCGATTGCTCACGCGCTGGCTCGAGAGTGCACTGGGCGGAGGCGGCACTGAAGCGGTGGAATGGGTCTCGCTGTTCCTCAAGTCATTCCGTGGCTGCTCCGCTGCCGCCCCGCGCGCACTCCGCGTGCACTCGGTGCTCGTGTGGCGCCGGCAGCTTGACTGTGTGAGAAGCTCGATTGAGCGCAGCAGCTCGACTGTACCTCTCTCTCTTTTAACCAGTTTGAAGCATATCCCTATCCCTATGTTTGACATCACCTCACCTCGATGCCGATCTTGAGGATTCCCTCAGTTTCTGAGGGCCTGTCCCTAAGATTGTCCTCGCTTTTTGCTCGCCCATCTTAGGGATAGGGATACGTTTGAGGCTGGTTAACTCTCTCTCTCTCTCTCTCTCTCCCCGCTCATCTTTATGTCTCTGGCGGCGAGGTCTATACGTATCCACCACCTCTGGCCAGGCTCACCCAGAGCTCAGGATGGTGTAAAAGGTGAAGACCTTCCTGGCCAAGCCAAGGGGGTCGGGGGACGATGTTTTGACCATTTTTGAGCATTTGTTTTATATGTTCTTCACTTTTTTATTTGTCCTCCAAGATCCCCCTTTAGGGGGACAGGCCCGACCTAGCCGTATACGTACATACCCAGACATCTTTCAATCTGATCTGTCAAGCCGCAGCCGCAGAGCTCCCAGCTCCTTCCAAGCGTCTACAGGGGTAGCTGTTCGCCCCGAATCCATTTCTGATGGTCCAGGACTCGATTCGGGTATAGCCAGGGCCCCAGGTAAGGGGACCCGGTTAATAGTAGGCCCCCAGAGCCCCTCAATTGGCCAGAGTTACTGAGCCAGGTTTGCCGTAGTTTTAGGTCGGGCCTGTCCCTCCACAGGGGGAATATTCAAACATAGTTTAAACATAGCCTGGGGACTATTTTTGTAGTATTTTTGACTATTTGGGACTCGTTTTTTTGACTGTTTTTTATCGTTCGTCCAAAATCGGCCTGAAGGGGGACAGGCCCGACTTAACCGTAGCTGGTGTTTTTTCGGGTAACGGCAGTTCTGGTTGGTGGAATGGGGCGGGGGGGGGCGTCCCCCAGTACACATCCCCAAACCAGGGCCCACTAGACCCAGTCCTGCCGACGCCCGACCGACAACGCGCCCGGCAGGTGGAAGCCGAGGCGAAATGCCGGGATTGGAAAGCATAGGTTCAGGAGGGAACAGAAAACACAGACACAATTCATCGTCGATGCCCCAGAAAATATGGGAAAATATGGGAAGTGGGGGGGGGGAAGACAAAATCCAGAACATATAGGAAAATGGGACATCTGGTTGTTTGTGTCTATTTGTTTATGTGTCCCAGTTCCTCTTCATAGATCATCGGTCATCGGATCATCGAGGTTGGGAGATTCGGGCCGGACGAAAGGGGGGGATTGGGAAAGGGGGGGTTACGAAACTTGCTGCATGCAGCTGGTTTCGGCCCCACCGAGCGGCCCATTCCTCGATTCATAGCCGCCTCCAGCGCCGGGAGGCGCCGGGAAAATCAGCTACGTGAGCTGATTCTCAACCCCACCCTTTGCTATCCCCCCCTTTCGCCAGGCCCCGGAGATGGGCCTGGCCAGGGGCGGTGGGCTGCCCGCACCCCCGCAGCCCCCGGCCCGCCGATGAGGCGGGCTCCGCCTGGGCCGTCCGCGACGTGTGGCGGCGCGCGGAGCTGGGGGCCTCCCGCAGGGCAGCAGAAAATCGGCCTTCGAGGGCCCGTGCATCCAGGGCATAAAAAACGCGCCTACAGTCGGGGCCCTGAAGAAGGAACCCTTTTTCGTTTGGGAGGGGCTCCGCGTTCCTTAAGTGTTTCGCAGCTTGCCTCGGATTTTCCTTCGGTTTTCGATGCGAAATCGAAGTTTAACTTATGGAAAAGAGGGGCCTCGTTCCTTATTTAGGGTTCCTTAGGTCAACGCCTCGACTGTACCCTGGTTAACGAGGCGCTGTGCGCTGAAACTCCTGGGCTGACAGGGTAAACCCTGCGTGATGTGCCGCGTCCTGACGGCTCTAAGCTTTCTGGGGGTTCCAGGGAAGCTTTTACAGACCACGCACTTGTAACCCAGGGTAGGGCCGTTTTTTTATCCCTCAAGCGCAGATCCCCCTGTCATGGGTAACGCTAGGTTCTAGGATTGTCGAGGCTTCTGGTAGTTTTCGTGGGGCTCCCGGGGCGGCTTTCCAGCCTCGGGATGCGTTCTAGCAGCTGCGCCTCGCCGAGAGCGTCCCTGTGGGTGCCAGGCTCGTCCCGAGCGGCCGCCCGAGAGCCGAGCGATGGCCGAGAAAACCAGGGGGGCACCGTGAGGCGGGGTAGGCGGAGGGATAGTGCTCGTGAGCTTTCGAATGCTTCCGGAACTCGGGCTGGTGTTCACCAGCCGCGCCTCGCCGAGGGCGTTCCGAAGGGGCGCCGGGGTTTAGTCCCGAGCGGCCGCCGGAGGCCCGAGCTGGAGGCCCGAAGGCCAGGGAGTGGAAGGCCAGGGGCAACGTGAGAGGGGGTAGGCTCAGGGGAAACCTTGGCATCGCTCGGACGTGTGCATTTTTTCTCGGCGAGACCCATCGAGGACCATCCTGGACCAACAAGCAACAACAACACGCACGGAACCGACAAATGCACGGGAAATGGAGGTCCGAGCGACGGCAAGTAACGCAGCGACTCCCAATCGCCCATCGATCCCCGATATGGGGCGTCGCTATCGGACGCGCCTCGCCGATCGCCCCTGTCGTCGACCCTCGGCAGAGGAAGAGCGGATCCACGCGTGGCAAGACAAGGGCGGTCCTCCCTGGTGTCGTTTCGCCCTTGTCTTGCCACGCGTGGATCCGCCTCGAGGAACGAGTCAGCATTGATGGGCCTGTTTTCCACCACCACCACCATGATTTGGAGGGAAAGGGAGGTGGAGGATGAGGAGGAGAGAGAAGAGGAGGAGGTGGAGGCGGAGGAGGAGAAGATGGAGGACCCCCTCCCCCTCCTTCTGGTGGTGGTGGTGAAAAACAAGCCCACCAAGCATGGACCCGGGTCCGGGAGCCGACTTTGAGCAGGCGTGCGACGGGCGGGAGAGCCGCTTGGCGCTGGGTCCCCTTGGCGGCGCCTCCTCTGGCGACGCCCCTGGATGCTCTCCGCGCGCCGGGGGAAGAGTATATCCAGCGCCGGCCCAGGAGATGCGCGCTCGCATCCGAAAGTTTCTACAGTGGAGGCCCATGCCAAGAAACACCCTGCTTGCCTCCAGGGTGCCCTGGGTTTCTTGGTTTTCGACGGCTTCGATATGGAAGGCGTGACTTCCCACCAAAAATGAATGGACGTCCTGGGGTCTCAGAGTTGGGTTCCTTGTGGAAGGCTTCTTGTGGACTGGCCTCCGCTGCAGCCTTCTCTCTTCTCCTGGTGGGGAGGGAGGCCCGGCGCCAACCGCGGGCAGTCCGCGCGGGCCCCCCCGAATGTGGATGCTCACGTGCGGCAGTCGCGCCGCGTGGGCGCTGCGGCTTGGCATCGCTCGGACGTGTGCAGTTTTCCTTCGGCCAGGACCATCGAGGAGCATCCTTGAGCATTCGGCGGAAAAACCACGCACGAAACCAAAAAAAGCACAGGGAATGGACGTCCGAGCGATGGCCAGGCGGCGACCCCCGACGCGGGCGGTCAGGGCCGAGCGACGCCAGCGGCCCTGCGTCGGCCGTCATCGACCGGTCTGCGAGCCACGGGCGCTCCGGGTCGAACGACCCGCGCGGTGTCGGGAGTCAAGGCCGGCGTCATCTGGATGTGGACCTGCGCAGGAGGAGGGATGGAGGTGGTGGCGGTGGTGGTGCTGGTGCTGGTGAAGATGGAGATGAAGATGGAGATGGAGATGGAAGCGGAGATGAAGATGATGTTGATGCTGCTGATGATGCTGCTGCTGCTGATGATGCTGATTATGATTATGATGCTGAGGATGATGGTGACGATGATGATGCTGCTGATGATGATGCTGATGCTGATGATGATGAGGAGGAGACGAAGATAAGGAAGGGGATGCAGAGGAGGATGAGGATGAAGATGGGGATGAGGATGATGATGATGAGGAAGAGAATGAGGATGATTAGGAAAAGGATAAGGATAATGATGAGGATAATGATGAGGATGAGGATGAAGATGGGGATGTGGATGCTGATGATGCTGATGATGATGAGGATGATGATGATAGCGCTGATGATGAGGAGGAGGATCAAGATCAGGATGATGATGCTGATGATGAGGAGGATGATGAAGATGAGGATGATGAGGATGATGAGGATGAGGATGAGGAGGGGCATGATGATGATGATTATGATGATGATGTTGATGATGATGCTGATGCTGATGCTGATGATGAGGATGATGATGCTGGTGATGATGATGATGCTGATGATGATGATGATGATGGTGATTATGATGATGAGGAGGAGGAGGAGGAGGAGGAGGACGAGGAGGATTGTGCTACTGCTGCTGATGATGATGATGTTGATTAGTACTAGGATGATGATGAGGAGGAGGATGATGGTGACTGGGAGGATGGTGAGGGAGACGATGCAAGAGAGGGAGGATGAGAGGGAGGATGATGAGAAGGGAGGACGATGCAAGAGAGGGAGGATGGTGGTGACTGGGAGGATGATGAGAAGGGAGGAAGACGATGCAAGAAAGGGAGGGAGGATGGTGAGGGAAGAAGGAAGCGTGAGGAGGGAGGAGGAAAGCTGGTGACCAGGAGGAGGAGGAGGAGGAGGAGGAGGGCGAAGAGGAGGAGGAGGAGGAGGAGAGGGAGCGGGAGGAGGAGGAGGAGGAGGACGAGGAGGATAAGGAGGAGGAGGAGGAGGAGGAGAAGGATTGATGATGATGATGATGATGAGGAGGAGGAGGAGGATGATGATGATGATGATGCTGATGCTGATGCTGATGCTGATGCTGATGCTGATGATGTTGCTGATGCTGATGCTGATGATGATGCTGATGATGATGCTGATGGTGATGATGATGCTGATGCTGATGCTGATGCTGATGCTGCTGATGAGGATGCTGCTGATGAGGATGCTGCTGATGATGATGCTGATGATGATGATGATGATGCTGATGATGACGATGATGATGAAGATTATGATGATGATGCTGATTCTGATTATGATGATGATGATGATGATGATGATGCTGATGCTGATGCTGATGATGATGATGATGATGATGACGAGGATGAGGATGAGGATCAGGATGATGATGATGCTGATGATGACGATGATGATGATGGTGATGATGATGATGATGATGATGATGATGAGGATGATGGTGATGGTGAGGGATGAGGACGAGGCGAAAGAGAAGGAGGATGAGGGGGAGGTCAGAGTCACGGAGGAGACGGGGCGTCGAGGATCGAGGACACGTCGTTGCGCCCCCGAGGTCTTCTCGGGCGCCTTCCGCGCCGAGGTTCCGCCGCAGGCCTGTGTGGCGGTGCGCCTGCGGCGGGTCGCGCTGGAGGCTCTGCCGGCGAGGCTGCTCGTGTGACCCCTCGGTGCGGCCGCCGCCTGACGGGAGCGCGACATTCGCCCGCGAAAGAAAGCGAACTAACGCTGCGGTGACGACGACGACGGCGAGGACGAGGACGGCGGCGACGACGATTGCGACGACATCGGCAGCGGCGACGACGAGCACGACGACGAGAACGCCGAGGGCGACGACGAGGACGACATCGACGACGGCGATATGGGCGACGACGAGGACGACGACGAGGCTTCCTAGGAGAACGAGAACGACGAGGACGACGAGGAGGAGGACGACGACGACGACGTCTGCGACGACGACGACGACGTCGACGACGACGACGACGGACGATGACGATGACGACGAGGATGAGGAGAAGGAGGAGGAGGACCACGACGACGACGACGACGAGAACGAGGACAAGCACGACGACGAGGATGACTACTACGACGACGATGATGACGACGAGGACGACGAGGACGAGGACGAGGAGGCGGAGGATGACGGCGACGGTGGCGACGAAGACGACGATGACGACGATGACGACGAGGACGAGGACGACGACGGCGGCGGCGGCGGCGACGACGGAGACGGACGACGAGAGGACGACGACGAGGAGGAGGATGACGAGGACGACGACGATGATGACGACGACTACGGCGGCGACGACGACGACGGCGTCGACGACGTGTGACCCCTCGGGGCGGCTGCCGTCTGGCGGGAGTGCGACATCCGCTGGCGCAAGATCAAGACGGAACATTATTGCGACGACGACGACGAGGACGACGAGGGCGGCGACGAAGACTACGACTACGACGACCACGACGACGTCGACGACGACGACGACAACGAGTACGACGACGACGACGACGACACCGAGGACGACTTGGACGACGACATCGACGATTGTGATATGGGCGACGACGAGGACGACGACGGGGCTTCGGAGGAGAACGAGAACGAAGAGGACGACGAGGAGGAGGACGACGACGCCGACGACGACGTCTGCGACGACGACGACGACGGCTGCGACGACGACGACGGACGATGACGATGACGACGACGAGGACAAGGAGGATGAGGAGGATGAGGAGGACCACGACGACGACGATGACGAGGACAAGAACGACGACGAGGATGACTACTACGACGACGATGACGACGACTAGGACGACGACTACGACGACGAGGAGGAGGACGACGAGGTGGACGACGAGGACGACGGGCACGACGACAACGACGACGAGGACGACGACCGACGACGACGAGGACGACGACGACGACGAGGATGACGACGACGACGACGACGGACGACGACGACGGCGACGACGACGGCGAGGAGGAGGATTAGGGGGACAAGAGCGGAGACGACGACGACAAGGGCGAGCACGACGACGAGGACGACTACGTCGACGGCGAGGACGACCACGACGACGCCGAGGATGACGATGACGAGGAGCAGGCGGAGGAACATGGCGATGACGACGGCGACGATGGCGACGACGCTGACGACGAAGACGACGACGACGACGACGACGACGACGACGGCGTCGACGACGACGACGACGACGACGACAATGACGGACGACGACGACGTGGACGACGACGACGACGACGAGGACGAGGAGGATGAGCTGGGGCGGGGAGGAACATGAGGAGGAGGCGGAGAAGGAGGAGGAGGAGGAGGAGGAGGATGGGGAGGAGGAGGAGGAGGAAAGGCGGTGGAGGCAAGGGGTAGCGGCAGGATGCGGCGGGGATTGGTCTCTGAAGGCGGAAGAGATGGGTCCCGCGCGCGCGGCGCAGTCGGCCAAGACCGAGACTTCGGGGCTGCTCCAGACGAAGGCGTGCGCCCGCCCCGCTGGTGCTGCACTGTTCGGACACAGCGGCCACATGTGAGGAGGAACAGGGGAGGAGGAGGAGGAGGAGGAGGAGGAGGAGGAGGACGAGGAGGAGGAGGAAGAGGAGGATGATAACGAGGAGGGCGAGGAGGACGACGAGAAGGACGAGGACGAGGAGGAGGACGAAAAGGAGGAGGAGGAAGAGGCGGAGGAGGAGAACGCGGACGAGGAATCGGGGTGAGGGGGGGGGGCAGGGGGAGAGCGGGATGAGGAGAAGGAAGACGAGGATGGGGGGTAGGAGGTTCGGTTCGATGTTCCTCAAAGCTCGCAAGTGATGGGCGAGTGCCGCCCTGATGGGACGTGACAGCCGACGGGGAGGGGAGGAGGAGGAGGGTAGGAGGATGAGGAGGAGGAGGAGGAGGAGGAGGAAGAGGAGGAGAAGGATGAGGAGGCGGAGCAGGACGAGGAGGAGAGGGAAGGGGGAGGTTGAAAGGAGGAAGGGTGAAGGGGGAAGGGAGAAGGTGGAAGGAGGATTGAGGATGGAGGATGGAGGATGGAGGACGGAGGAAGGAGGAAGGAGGAAGGAAGAAGGAGGAAGGAGGAAGGACGAAGGACACATGAGGAAGGACGAATGAGGAAGGACGAAGGAGCAAGGAGGAAAACACTGGGAGGGAGAGAGAAACAGATGAAGAGAAGGAGGAGAAGGAGGAGAAGGAGGAGGATGAGGAGGAGGATTAGGGACGAGGAGGAGGAGCAAGAGGAGGTGGAGGAGGAGGAGGGGATGCATGAGGAGAAGGACGAGTAGGAGGAGGCGATGCAGGAGGAGGAGGAGCAGGAGGCGGCGGAGGGGGAGGATACGCAGGAGCAGTTGGATATGCAGGAGGAGGCGGAGGAGGACACTCGCTCGAGGAGGTTGCAGGATGAGGGAGGAGATGTGGAGGGACCAGGGGGGAGAGAGAGGATGCAGGAGACAGCGTTGCGAAAGGCGGGCCCGAGACCCCCGCGCGGCGGCCGCAGAGCAGGTCCGCGCGCTGCTCCAGGTCCCCACGCTGCTGGCGCAGGTCACATCGCGGCAGAAGGACGGGCCCCCCGCTGGCCCTCGGGGAGGAGGGACGAGCGAGGCGCAGCGAACAGCCAGGCGCAGCCAGGAGGAGGAGGAGGAGGAGGAGGAGGAGGAGGAGGAGGAGGAGGAGGAGGAGGAGGAGGAGGAGGAGGAGGAGGGGGAGGGGGAGAGGAGTGGGAGGAGGAGGGAGGAGGAGGAGGAGGAAGAGGAGGAGGGGGGGAGGAGGAGGAGGAGGAGGAGGAGGAGTAGGAGGAGGAGGAGGAGGAGTTTTCATGATATTCCAATCAGCCGGCCCTACAAGTTCCCTCTGCATGCGTAGATCCTTTCAACACGTGGTTCTCATTGTGGGAAGTGCCCCATTGAAAGATAACCGTTTGAAAATCATCAGCGCTCGTGCCAAAACACCACCCCCCGGACTTCAGCGCCCCGTATCGCGGTGTGTTCTGTTTCCTGACAACTTGAAATCACCCCAGAATGCCTGTCGCATGCAGCGGGCATCCATGGGCTGCTGGCGCGAGGGCTCTGGACATCAGCGCCCCCGCCCTCGTGCCCGCCGCCGGCGTGCCCTGCGGCCTGGTGCCCGCCCTCGCGGAGGCGCCGGGGCCCTGGACGGCAGCGCCCAGCGTGCCGCCAGACCACGGGCCTCTTGGAAGCCCTGCGGCCCTCTCGCTCGAGGGAGTGCCAGAGGACGTGGCGGAGGTCCGCCAGCTGCTGGCGCGGGTGGGCCAGCAAATCGACGCGATCGTGGCGGGCTTGGAGGCGGCCTGGAGCGCGTGGCCAGTGGTGCGGTTGATGAGCGGAGATCGCTGGGCACTCGCGTCTCCATGTGATGGCCGTCGCCCGTCGGCGTGATGTTGTCGAGTCGGAAGTTCAAGTTCTTTGGAGTGGACGGGTCCGTCGTGGAGGAAGCGGCCTTTATAAGTAGGCTGCGCCCGGGCCAGCGACTAGCGCTCTGGTACCAAGATGGCACGCATTGGCATGAGAGGGTTGCGCTTGCGCCTGTGTGACCGGGCACCTGAATCAACGCGGCCCCGGACAGCGATTTGGTATCCCGAGAACTTCCGTTGCCGGCGAGGCACAAGGGGCGCGGTGCTAGCTGTCCTTGTCGACCCTGGCGCAGTTGTTTCGGAGCGCATGCACGATCTCTCCTATTGGTTCAAGGAACCGCTCGACCTGCCTGCGCTCGTGGAGCAGATCAAGTTGGCTGAGGGAGTGGCTTCCGCCATGATTCGGTAGCGCCAGGACGAGCCCACCTCGATAATGCTTTGGGAAGGCGACGGGGGCCAGTATCGCGAGCTGATGTATCCGGATGGCCTGCAGCCCGTGCCCCTCAAGGGCGGCGAAGATGCGTCTCCCCCCGCGGGGCCGCCTCTCCCTCCGCCCGCTCCGGTTTCTGACGAGACTTGGCTGATCGTTGATTCGCGCCGCCAAGACTTCGGGCGTGAGCGCTGCCCTTCTCGCAATGCGGTCGTCGCGGGGGACGTCTCGGCGGCGTTCGACAATCGGCAGTGGGCGGGCGCGGTGAAGAAGGTCAGGGTCGGCGTAGGGGACGTCCCGCTGTTCGTGGAGACCGCCAGGCCGAGGATCGTTAAGATGCCGCCCGATAGCGGTGGCGCTGCTCCCGCGGGGGTGGGGCGAACCCCCCCCCCTTGCAGATGGTGCGAGGACTTTGGCGGTCGACTAAGACGAGCGCGTAGATCGATTCATGAGCTGGCGAGGGGTCTGCACCGAGATCTCCTACAGTCACTTCGACGACTGGGAACAAGCAGCGCGAAGGGCGGGCCGCGACCATGGCGCTGTTCAAGGTCTTCAAGCGGCAAGGCGGCGACCCGCGCTGGCGGCGCTCGATCTGGCGCCGCGAAGCAGGAGTCGGCCCTCAGGAGCGGACGAGGACCGTGATGATGCGTTCGACGGACATCTTGTATCTCGGCGTGACCTACGACGAGTTAAACGGGCCGTCGCTGGCATGCGTCGAGTCAGTCTCGCGGCGGGCGCGCCAGATTGTTGGAGCTTGCTCGACGGGCGCGCCAGGGCGCGCCAACTGAGAGGGCGCTATGCACTTCGCGCCGGCGGCGACGGCGGCTGCCGCGGCGCCGCCCGAGCCGCGCACCCGCGCCCACCGG